AAAAGGAAACCGAAGAAAGAAAACACAAAAAAAAAAAAACCGCGAGCCTTTCCCGCTAAAAGGAGGGGGGAAGGGGCGTTTCCCTCCCCAGGGGCCGCCCTCGCGTGCAGAAAGCCCCGGGGCCCCGGCAAAAGGAAACCGAAGAAAGAAAACAAAAACAAAAACAAAAAAAAAAAACCGCGAGCCTTTCCCGCTAAAAGGAGGGGGGAAGGGGCGTTTCCCTCCCCAGGGGCCGCCCTCGCGTGCAGAAAGCCCCGGGGCCCCGGCAAAAGGAAACCGAAGAAAGAAAACAAAAACAAAAACAAAAAAAAAAAACCGCGAGCTTTCCCCGCTAAAAGGAGGGGGGAAGGGGCGTTTCCCTCCCCAGGGGCCGCCCTCACGCGCGGAAAGCCTCGGGGTTCCGGCAAAAGGAAACCAAAGAAAGAAAACACACAAAAAAAAAAAAAAACCGCGAGCCTTTCCCCGCTAAAAGGAGGGGGGAAGGGGCGTTTCCCTCTCTGGGGGGCCGCCCTCGCATGCATGAGGCCCCGGTGGGGGAAACCAAAGGTAAAAGAGGAAAAAAACCGCAGTCCGGCACGTTTGTCCGGGCCAACCCCCGCCGCCGGCGTCCTTCGGGGTGTTTCTGCGGCCTTGGGCGGTCCCCCATGCTCCTTTTGCGTTTTGTCGGCCCGTCTTCCTTCCTTTTCTTCTTTTTTCCTTGCTTGTATGTGGGGTTGGTGGGAAAAAAACGAGGGGTGAAGAGCAGTTTTGGGTTCCGGTTTGGAAAGTAATTGCGGGCACCCGCTTGCACAGAGAAAAGGTGTGCGGGGACGAAAAAAAAAAAAAAAATTCAAAGGGCAACAGGTAGAAATACAAAAACAAAAACAAAAACAAAAACAAGAAGAAACCACTCGCTTCTTGATCGACGCTCTTCGGCGCCTCGGCTTTGAAGCGGTCTTTTCCATTGTTTCTCTCTCTTTCTCTATCTATCTCTCCTTTTTATTTTATTTACATTGAAATGCAATTGCTTCTCCAAAGTATATTTTACATCACACCAGACTCGTAGGTTGGAATCATGTACTTGATATTGATGTACGCATCTTCCCCACCGTAGCGTTCGAATAAATTCAGCGTTTCATTTATAAGGTCACTTATGTTCTGCCTTTTAACTTGGGAAAAGTCCATACGGTCGCCTAAATTCCTATTTCTGTTTTTATACAGGTTAAATATGGGAAGTATTTGTCGGTAGTAAGGTACAAGGGCTTGACCAACATATTCTCCACTCAATACAAGTTTTTGTAAAACTTTAAGAACATTTACAATAACAGTTGGGTGACGTGTATTCAATGCAGTTTTTATAGGTACAATAAGCTGTGGTATTGTTGGTAAAATTTTAGGACCTCCTCTATCAAGAAGGTCATAGCAACCTTGAATGGCTACAAACCGAAAAGGTTCCTCAAGTTCTCGAAGTCCATCAAAGAATATAGGCAAAAAATGATGATAATCCAAGGTAGTTACATCCACACGCCATAAAAGGGAACGAGACGCTGCTTGTTGAATTGTCAGAGGAAGATCACCTCGTTCATAATGACTGCGAAACTCTGTAGGAGGAATAACTTGCTTTTTAAAGGCTCCTGCTTTACCAGGTCCTTTAGGATCACCAAATCGACCATCATGAAGAGAAGAAGAGTCTCCTTTCCCCTTAAATGTACTGAAAGTCATGCCACCTGTTCCAGTATGTCCCACAAGTATTTGCTTTTGTGGAAGATCTTCAGCTGCGTGCTTTTGTTGTTGTTTTCCCTCTACAATATCTGTACGCTTCTTGGTTGCAGCAGGAGCGCCTGCATTCTTAATAACTGTTACCTCATTCTTCGCACCATGGCCAGTTGGAAACGGTCCAAATGGACTTTCCGCAAGCGGTGGGAGAATATCTCTGTCTCGTAGTAACCGATTCCTTTCAGCACGGGAAAAAGCCATCCCTTCTCTTTTTTTCTCTTAAGAATACAAAAAAAAAAAAACTTTCCCTAACTTGCCTTCTTCTAATACTCGTATTTTTGATATACTTTTCTCTTACCGTTTTCAGCCTTACTTCCTATATGTTTTTTTTTTTCCTCTTCTTTTCTGTTAGTCCCCACCCCATACGTTTTAAAGAGAGAAAGGCAACACAAAGCGAAAAAGAAGAACAACAACAAAATGATATATATATATATATATATATATATATATATATGGACTCAATCAATAAATGTATCTAAATTTATGTTAGTGCACTCCTCTGGTCGTGGTGATAACCAGGAAGGCCATAACCAAGGCTTCCAGCCTCTCACCCATTACTTTCCCTCCCCTTCCGGTTTGCGCGCACAACGGTACTAAAAACATTAAAAAAAACAAAACAAAAAAGCACATAAGGAGAAAACTAATAGCAAGTACAGATTCACCATCTGAAGGGGACTTCACCAGCACTATACAGTTAAAAATAAAAGATTACAAAATAATACGTTAACATTCCATCTCTACTACACCCCCTCCCTTTAAATCTACTTCTTCCCATCAACTGCCTAGATTTATCTCCCCTAGGCCACGTGTCATGTATTATGGTGAAGGCTTTCCTGAAGTTTGTGTAGCAACAACGAAACATCACTGAGTTGATTGCGCTGTTTCGTGAAAAGGTTCAACATCGTCTTGTCTCGTCGCACTTGACAGCGTCCCCGTGTCCATGCAAGCCATGACTGAAAAGAATGAGACCGTAGAAGATTACATGTCTTTCCATGGAGTAATTGAGCAACTTGTAAGTTTGATATATCTTCTCTGTGTATTTGTTCTAAATTTTTTTTCTTACCAGATACATTACTCTTATTATTCCCTTCTCTGGTGTTTACAATTTGCTGAAAGGTATGCATACAATCATTCAGCTCCTGGCTCATGTGTTCTGAACGTTCCCATATTTCTTTAGTTCCTAGTGCAAGCTCAGCGCAAGCATTTCGGAGTCGTGCAACATCTGCCGTATTATTCTCCAATGCGACCCTTTGTTTATCATTGTTCACTTGCAATGTATGAAGTTCCACATTCACTTGATAAAGTTCCTTCCGTAGATGTTCTATCTCTTTCTCAAGAAAGTCCTGGGTTTGAGTAGAAGGGGATAAATCATTACCATTTATGTTCACCAACGCAGAAGATGCAGAAGATGAAGAAGGAGAAAAGGCGGGACTACACCTAAGTTGAGCAACACTTTTAACAATCTCTTGATTGATTTCTCTGTTTCTTATCGTCACTTGCTGTAACTTGTATAACTCTTCTTCTATTACTTCATCACGTTTTTGCAACATATTAACTTTTTCAATAATTCTTTCCATTAACAAAAAACAGTGCTGCCGTTCTTCTTCATTTGCACGGCGCTCTGCCTCCATTCCACTGGCGAGGGCACTCATTACATTAACCACCTCACGTGCGACATCAGGTAACCTAACATCATCTAACATTCTTTTCTCACCTGAAGAAATACAATTATCTGAAGATTGTGAACGCAATTTTTTTTCCAAGAGACGAATGTGATCCCACAATTCAGAAGCATAACCCTTCACTTCTTTACGCATAGCTGATTGTTTATGTGTAGCCTCTAATACAAGAGCTTGTAATTTTCCCTCTTGCTCTTTTTGTAGAATGTCTATTCTTTCCAGTTTCTCTGTAAATAGATCCAATCTGGCTACCATGTCACTTTCCCTCCCGGTAATACTACGCAATTCTTCTCGGACTCTTGCAATAAGGAATTTTTCAAATTGGGAAAGTTGCTTACTCACTGAACTTGTAGTCAAGCGAATAAGTTGTGCGCTATCAATATTCTCATCTCCACGGTGTCGTGTCGCTTCCTCTGAGCGGAAAAATTCGTTTATATCTCGTTGAATTCGTTGACAAAAGGAACTGGATTGCCGTGCCTCTGTGACTGCTTCTTTCACCGCCTCGCGAAGCATCATTATCTCTGTATGCACATCTACATGATTCTCACTCTGAGCGTCCTGCATAGTAATAACGCCTTACTTATTTCTTCTCAAGAGTACATAAAATATGAATCCCACCACAATTAGCAAGAAAATACGGACACCCCCAAATAGAAAACCCCGCAATCACAACAACGAGGGTACGAGCCAATAAACAAACAGAAAAAAAAGAAGAAAAAAAAAGACAAAAGAAAAATAAAACAATATCGAAAATAAAATAAATAAATAAATAAAACAACAACAATATCAATATATAAGAAAGGATAATAAACAATAATAATAATAATAACAAAGGATAACAAGTATCACATAGATCCTTTACCGAGTGTATATTCTCAGAGGATTTCAGTATTGTAGGTATTTCCACTACCATTAAGTCACACCATACAAATAGAAAGAAGAAAAAGACAAGACATAGATTCGGAGATGCATATATACACACAAACAAACAAACAAACAAACAAACACACATACAATCCCCTCTCTCTCTCTCTCTCTCTCTCTTTCTCTTTCTTTCTCTCTCTTTTTTTATCTTTCTACAGAATTTTTGAAACAGGAGGAAGTTCATTTAAGACTTCACGGGCCAGCTCACCAACAGCTCCCTTTTTATCTTTAAGTTCGTAAACAAGAAGGGCGACATCGTCAAACTTTAGACTAACCTCATGGTATTGTTGCATTATAGATTTTTGAGCACCAGGATCTACGTTTCGAAAAGATGCAGCAAATCTACGTGCTTCATCCATTTGAGCACGAAATCTACTGTTCATGCTTCCAAAAACTTTCAAACCATTTAATAAGAGACTCTCTTGCTCATTCTTTAAAGCATATAAGAGTATGTCTAATAAATCTGGAAGGGTATTAATCTTAATGCGTTCCTTCATACGCATATTTTGCATCGCCACTAGAAAATCTGTTACCACACCAATCTCAGACTCTTCAACACAGAGTCGCTTAATGTACTCTAACGCTTCCTTGGGATCCCGAACCCAAAGTGAACGAACCACACGAATGTGTGTTAATCGTCTCTGTAAAATAGAAAGCATTGTCGCACTTGAACTTAGTAGATCATCAATAGGAGATTCATAAGAATTCTTAACAATATCCACCGGATTAATTGTGTTGCACACATTTTTCTGGTTTTGTAGCGGAGGTGAGGTAGGGACCAAAGGTTTCACGTTCTTTGACTCAATGATAGGACGATGTTCTTGTTCTTGTGGTTGTTGTTGCCTCGGCTTCTGAATTTGTTGTTGTTGTTGTTGTTTTAAAGATGATGATGCTGTGGAACTGGCAACTTGAGGTGCACCCTTTTGTTGAGTAAGGGAAAGACGTCCCATATGTGCAGTTGACCCGCTGAACTCAACAAACCATGCTTCATCATGAATGGAAGAATAGGTTAAATCTCCTATTATATTCCATGGTGATTCTATACTAGATGCCGTACTATCACTCATCTGACCAAAGTCATACACGCGTAAAAGATGATCAGCCGCCACAAGCATTTTTTTTCCAAAGAGATGTACGGCATCAATTGGGGTGTCTAATTGACCACTTTGAAAGACTTTTGTGAAATTTTCCATTTCCCATAAAGAAACTGATCCATCACTACTACCTACCGCCATATAATACTGCTCAGGATGAAAATGAATGGATGTGATAGCCCCATTATGAGCCTGAAACTCCCTTAACTCTTTTCCAGATACCAAATCGTATAAACGAATCACTCCTTCCGCACAACCACTGACTGCCCAACGACCATTTGGAGTAAATCGAGTGGCACACAATGCTGCAGAGGCTCCTTTATAAGATTGTAAACATGACTTCTTCCGCGTATCCCAAATGCGAAGACTTCTGTCCCGTGAACAGGTAGCGATAAAGTCAGTGCAGCGGTGGTAGTCCATATCAGTCACAGTTGATTTGTGACCTTCTCCGAATGATCGAATAAATTTTTCTGTGCTAATATCCCATAAAGAAATCTTACCACGATCACTTCCCCCCACTACAGATCGCTGATGCATATCAAAAACAAGCGATGTTAAAGGAGAAGCATCACCTTCTAAACGTGCGATTTGAGTATATTCTTCAAATGGATATACATAAATGGCACCATCTTTCCCACCAAGTCCTACCAACTGCTGGGCACGATCAGAACTAAATCGTGAGGAATACAACTGGCAGGGAAGCTGTAGCGCAGATGTGGTCATCATAAAAATAATTATCTAACAGAAATAGTAAAAAGACTTACTTCTGCTTCCTCTGGCCCTTATGATTATGATTATTATGATTATGATTATTACAACATATATAATAAAGAAGAATTTTATTGTGATAAAAATAAGAGAAAAACAACAACAACCAAATAATAATAATAACAGCAACAACAATAAAAAAGAACAGAATATTGGAGTTTTTTTTTTTAACCAAACACTCTACATCTGCACGCATACGCATCTTTTTTTTTTTTTTCTTTATATCTTTATAAATATGTTATCTTTGCAATAACACACAAGAAGAAAAAAAAACACCACACAGAGACGTACACAAACAGAGAGAGAGAGAGAACAATAGAAATATACACAACGAAAGGAAAACCACCCTCACAATCATAATGTGAAAAACTTTCCATCTGGAAGTTTGATAGAGAGAAATTTATCTTCTTCAATAGTACCATCATCAGATGCATGAAGCAACTCAAAGCAGGGAACGCAATAAGGACATGGACTCTCAGGAGACAGTTCATCATTATAGCAAGCTATAGTTGCAGGGAACTGCCGACACATACGGCAACGTACAACGCGAGTAGGCGCTTTCATGACACGGTGGGGGTAATATCCACGTTCTCGAACATTACTTTCAAGACCTCGAAGTGAGTGAACAGAACTCAAATAAAAGTAGTGATTACACCACCCAAGATGACGCAGTACACCAAATTCACCGAGACGTAAATTCAATTCAGCAAAGGTGGTCTGTGAGACATATTTGACAGGGCATTTACCAAACGCTATATTTTCTCCAACTTTATTACTCTTGTTAGTTGGAGAAACGTCTCCTCTTCCTTCTTCTTCTTCTTCATGTTGTAGTGGATTAAAGTGTCGTATTGGAGCTGTCAAGTCTTCATAATTCGCTCCATCAATTCCAGCATGACGATTATCAATATAAAATGTACCACCAATAAAAATAAATGCATTTTTAGAAACGTTTACAGGTAAGCAATTACGACATTCAAATGCGTCAATAAGAGTACCAAGGGTTTGACAAGAGAGTACAGCCCATGAGTCTTGTACCTCTACAGATGAATCTGGTGAAAAGAAGGTGAATTCCCAACGGTGTGAATGCTCCGCAAGACAAAAATCATCTGATGTATCCCGTACACTATGTAATGAACTCTCTGTAACATTATTTTCACGATGTCGTAACATCTTACTAAATGTTTCATGATTTGTCGTTTCAAGTGACTTTAGTCGTAATTCACTTCCATCATACTCCTTTTCAAGTTCCTCCCGTACCCGTTTTATCGGCTCCACATCCACTAGGAACTGTAGCAGAGCTGGACGTTCCCCACACTCCTTGTACTCATCCTGTATACGAGATATCTGCCGCTCACTCTCCTCCCGCACTGCTGTGACGATACGTTCCGTCTTGGAGAGTACTTTACGGACCGGCAATTTGGGCAGCTGTGTGGCTTCCCGCTCGGCCATCGCGTCTAGTTTCGCCTCTAGGGAGCGGAGGGCGTCCTCCATGGGGCCAATGGTGAAGTAATTCCCGTAGGGCGACCCGCGCCGCTCGAGGGCCGGCGGCAGGCGGACGACTGTTCCCGCCGGCAGCGCCTCCGCCGGGGCGTACGCGTGGAGGGCGGGATTGAGGCGCCGCACGTCGACGAGCGACAACGCGGCGTGGGCGGCGATGCCGGCGAGGGTGGCGTCCTGCGCGGCATCAACGACAATAGCGAAGGGATCGAGTGCGGCCCCCGTCGGCATTTCCCCGCCGTGCAATTAAGAGAAAGGGGGAGTTGTGAAGGGTTTTTATTTTTATTTTTTTCGTTCTTTCTTTTTGACTCTTGTTCGTATTGGGATTTCGGTATCTTTTCAACGCAGTTTACTTGACCTCACCTACCGCCTGTTCACCACCTCAACCCCTTCCTTCCTCTACACCCTATTTCCTAATGTGCATGGGGGTAAGGAATGTAACGAAGAGGAAGCAAGCAAAGGGGAAAAAGAAAGAAAGAAAAAAAAAAAAAAAACGATAAAAAAAAATAAAATAAAACCATCATCAACGACGAAAAAAAAAAAAAAAAAAAAAAGAGAAAAAATAAAGAAAGAAGGCACAATAGGGAACGCATCTTCACTTGCGTCCTAGTAGCGCATTTCTTTTCCCAACTCATCCTTCTCCTTACCCATTCTTTCCTTTTTTTTCTTTTCTTTCTATCTCTGTTTAATCATCTTGCCGTGGGTAGAAGCAGTAAATATAATAAACAGAGGGGAAAAAAAAAAAAAAAACGATGCAAAAGCACCGTCTATGTTTGTCTTTCTTTTCTTCTTTTGTTTCCCTTGGATTCCGGCATTGTGAAAAAGAGAAGTAACTAACTGAAGATGTCCAAATAACAGAAGAGGGCCCAAAGATAAAAAACAAAAACAAAAGAAACAGAAGACGGGAAAAAAGAAACAAAAAAAAAAAGGCAATACAGCATTGTATGTACCAAATCTCTTCTTTTCAAAATAAAGGAGAAAAACTATCCTTCATAGAATCAAGTGAGAAAGAGAGACGCAAAAAAGAAAAGTGAAAATCCATCCCTGATGGACCTTCACGCAGACAAAGTGTTGAGATAAAAGTCCACCAATTGGTGACGGAAGGACACATTCCGCAATATATCAGTTCGGCCCTGTGCTCTAAAAAGACGTACACAAGTGACAGGGTCCATGTGATGGTACTGCATAATATACGCAGCACAGAGTGTTACACTTCGGTTAATACCTGCAATACAATGAACAAAAACACGAGAACCTAATCGCTTTGCCTCATTTACAACTTCCGCAAATCTATCGTAACAATGATAAAGGATTAAATAATCGTTCTGATCTTCAGCAGAAAAGTCATGTACAGTAAATTCTGCTTTTACACTTTCGTGAGTTTCATACTCACCCGCACAACAGTTAATAATAGTACAAATTCCTTCTCTTCGTAAAATATCTAGAGTTTCCTCATCGGGAAAACCTCCTACGTAAAGACCATCCACGAGAGGTGTTACTGCGGGAGCTGTATGCCACATGTAGTTAAGTTTAACAGAAGATAATTCTGCATCTAAATTAGAACGGAGTTGAAGCTCTTCACGCATTGTTTGTGGTGTACAAAGTGCTGCTGAGGGATGAATAGTTTCAATACGTGAATTCTTCGGTGTCATTGTTTGACTGGACCACTGTTCTACACCAAAATCTACTGCTTGTCCACAAAAGCCTTCATATCGGCGTGTGGGTGTACAAGGTGAGTTATTACTGTTTTTGCTCTTCTCACTACTACTCGCGCTGTTGCCACCTTCAGTTCGGTAATCTGAGAGATGATGATAACAGACAAATGGTGTTCCATCAGGTGAGGCGCCATCCCTCGGCGGAGTGCACGAACGAGCTGCCATCTAAACTCCACGACGCCTTTTTTTCTTTTTGGCTCAGACTCTATTGACTAGATAAAAGCCTTTTCCATCAATAGGAAACAACAACAACAACAACAACAACACAAAAACAGAGGAAAAAGAAGAAGGGAGAAATAACATTCACTTCACTCTCTACCTTTATTATTATTATTGTTATTTGTTCCCACAGAAACAGAAATTATAATAGGGTGATAAAAAAAAAAAAGAAAAAAACAATAACAACGAGAATCAGAAACACCTAACAGAAGCGCAGAAGCCTGTAAACACAATAAGGACGGCACCCAAGGTTTGTTAACTTAATCGTGATGCATACGAGAGGTGAAATGTTAGAGGATTGAAAATATATATATATATATATATATATATATATAATTAGAGGGAATAGGAGTTTGCCAGAAAAAAAAGGGAAACAAGAAAAAAAAAGAAAGAATCTTACAGTTCATGAAGCATAAATATTCTTGCCTTCTTACGGTGTTTCGGGCTTAATTTACGAATAGCCTTATCATTTTTGATTTTCTGCACTACCATATTCTTTTTTTCATTTTCGGTCTTCCGTTCCATGTTAGCTTTACGTGCTTCCCGTGCCCGCTTCTCCTCATTGTTAAGTTCATCACGAAGTTTCTTTGATAATTCACGGACACGGCGCACATCTTCTTGTTTCTTTAACTTTTTCTCCAACTTCTGCGATGCTTTCTTTGTGTCTTTCAGGCTAGAAGTGCGCATCGGTGTGCGTGGCGCCTTTGCGAGTTTACGTTGCTCCAGCTTTCCCATTATATATCGGTGTGTGTGTCTGTCTGTAAATGTGCGTACCAGAGCGTTATTTTCTTTTCTTTTCTTTCCACAACAAGAATAGAAGGAAAAAGAAAGAGAGAGAAAAGATAGTAATCATACAGGGGAAATAAAATCAAAAGAAAGAAACATTATTGCCTTTTTTTTTTTTTTTTTTTTTTTACAAGAAGCCAAAAGCTTGGAAAACCTTCAAAGAGGTACACAAAACACACAGAGACATATATACATGTATATATATATATATTTACATGTATATATATGTGTATATATCAATAATGCATGAAGAGAAAAGAAAAAAACAAAAACGAAAAACAAAAACACAAAAAAGTTCAAAACGAGATATAAAAAAATGCAATAGGTAGCAATATCATGCATCAAAAGAGCGCACAAAATGCATAATTTATCTCAGCAAATAACTTTTTCTTTTCTTCTTCTTCTTTTTCTAATCCTGTTACACCTAGAGAAGATAATTCATCTTAAAAAGGATAAATAAAGAGTACACCATCACTTTTTTTTTTCCCCTTATATATTCAATATTTTCAAATAACCATGAAGAAGATAAAAAAAAAACCTCCCCAAACTACATTCTTCGCATACTAGCCTTAAGAACACGACGATCGTGTTTATTTCCGACTTGCTGCTGAAGGTAATTCTTGTATACTCGTTTGTATATTGTTTCTATTTCCGGTTCGAGAGAATCCACAATATCATACACACGTTGTGGCATAGCTGTAAGTTTCTGAATATGCTGACGAAGAGGTTTCCCTTCTCCTTCAAACACCAAACGGAGTAAATCAAATATTTCTTCATGAAGATTCTGTAATTTACGTGCACTGGGAAGTGTTCCACCCATTGCCTCCAGCAGTTCATCCAATGCCTCATCCACTTGGACGGTATGTTGCCAAAATAAATAGCGAATGGCTTTGTATTCTGTATAGGAAACCAAATGAGGTTCGGATGTCTCGTTTGAATTTGTTTCCGCATGTGCAGCGACAAATTCATCCAGTAACTGTACACCATTCTCCACCATGTAATCATGAAGAGTTTGAATAGCAGAAACATCAAAATAATTTTGTAAGAATGCCATATTTTTATCAACTTCCACACAACGTGCAATAAAATCCGGAAATGGAGGAAAATTTGCCAAAACCGTTTCATTCGTATTTTCTGGTAAAATTCCAAGAAGGATAAGTACTCGTAAGATCGCTTCTCTGGAATCCCGTCGTTCAACATGTTTAGGATCTTCTGGAATGCCAAGGTGTTTCAGAAAACTTTCCACACGCTTTTTATCAAATCGAACACGCCAGACAAGATGTGGAATTTTCTGAGAACTCTTAAAATTATACCAAATAATAATAGGTAATCCAATAAGAATACCAAGAAGACCAAAAAGTACCAATCCATCATGTTCTCGTGAAGTTAAAAATCGTGGAAGTGCAATACCAACGGAGAATTCATGAACATTTTTTGCCTCTTCTTCTTCAAATGCTTCGCGATCCACCAAAGCTTTATAAGCACGGCGTACATCCACATAAATTTCTCGTGCTCCTTCTGTTTTGTTGTGATCAGGGTGATATCTCTTAGAAAGGGCTCGGTATGCCTTTTTGATCTCACTTGTAGTAGCAGATGGTGAGACTCCAAGAATAGCATGAGCATCAAAAGTAAGTGTTGCATACATGGCTGAGGAAAAGAGAATAATCCATAGCCATAGAACCAGAATTTTGGGTCGAAGTGTGAATTTAAGAAATTTCGGCATCACACAACGAAGAAAAAAGATTTTTTCATTCCAACAAATACGGGCTCCAGCTGTAATCATACCTGGATCAGCTGCCAATACGGAGATAACCCGTGGAATATACGTGATGGAGTCCCAAAGATCTACCAATGGATTAGTTAAACCTGAACGTTTTTTCTTAGGTGTAAGGTAATACTCAATGGTTCCACGTACATGGCGAATCATCCAGGGAATGTACAGTATTATCATAATTACAGATACAATTGCAAAGGCGAAGGAGATGAATGATTCATCACTCCCACCAATTCCACCATCCGCCATTGTTCCCTTAAAAAAAAAAAGAAGAAAAGTATATCTAATATATAAATATACTTATGTATACTTTGTACCTTTCAAATTCCTCTTGTTATCGTTTATACTCTGTATATATATATATATATATATATATATATATATATATTAACACTACTACCCCCACACCAGATGCTCTTGAAAGAGTTCAAGACACGAGAAGAATAAGAGAAAATAATAAAAAAAAATAATAACCATAAGATCGAATAAGAAATGGGAAAAAACCAAAAGTAAAGTAAAAAAAAAGAACAGATTCAAACTTAGATAGATCAAGAGATGAACATTGCAAAAAGGACGGAATCCCATACATATCAGCTCATTCTAATAAAAGAGAGGTGACAATTTTGGTAAAAGAAGAGAGAGGACCTTCTGGCCTTTTTTTTTTTTAATTTCTTCTCATTACGCTATGAGAAAAACTCAATAAGAGGCAATTGTTGGATTACTTACTGGGTTTTCTCAAAATAAGAATTTTGACAGCCCACACAAATGCAAAAAAAGCCAATATGAGAATAACATGCCGAAGCTGTATTTCTGATCTTCTATTACTATTCTGATGTAAACTACGCTCAGCCTCGCGTACCACAGCAACACCAACAGTGTCACCGAGTTCTCGCAACGTCTTGGGAGGCGCGGATTTCATTTAAATAACATCCGTTATGATAATGTGTAGACCGTGCTCTTGGAGAAAGATAAAAAGAAAAAAAAAACAAAAAAAAAAAAAAGACAAGAGTCAACGAAATATACCAAAAATAAAAAATAATAATAATAAAATATACACACCCAAGCATACATACATAATATTAAATAATTAAGGATAAAAAGAATGACTACCTTGTTTAAACAAACAAACAAAGTAAAAGTAAAAAAAAAAAAAAAACAATCAAGTATCACACCTCTTCACCTGTATCATCGCTCCCACTTTCATAGCTATCAGGCCACTCTTGCTTATCTGTGAGAAAAGGATGCATAAGAAGTTCCGCCACCGTAGGACGAGCTTCTGCCTCTTCATTCAAACACTGTACGACGAAACTAACCGCAGATGGACTCAACGACATTACATCCGGTGAGAGAACATCCACTTCGAGCAGATCTTCAGTCTCATACACTTTTCCAGCTGGAGCCACCAATTGCATAAACACAGCTCCCAGAGCCCATATATCCGCACTATAATCAAAAGCAGAGTTACGCTTTATCTCTGGGGCACAACAGTGCCAAGCTTCTCGCCCAACATCACTGGAGGGTACAAACAAATCTATGGGAAGTACATGATGTGTTAGTATAATATTTCCACTCTGTGGATGTACGCGAAGTGTTTCCAAGCGGAGATGTCCATGCACGATATGTCGACTGTGAAGAGCGTACAGTGCTCGAAGAATTCCCTGCAACGCCACACGTGCATCTTCTTCTGTCATTGAATGTTGTAAAGGTCGCAACTCTACATCTACAGGAAACGTTGTTGTGAGAACAAGATAACGTGGTGAAATGCGCACATCCTTATATTCCATTAATACTGGGGATGGTGGCCAGCGGCTCAACTGCGCTATTCGCTGTCGAACACTCTCAACCTTGTCGACAAAAACAGCATATTTCTCTATTCTTAGCTCCAGCATACATCTATAAAGGGGGAAAAAAAGAAGAACGACAAACAAAAAAAAAAAAAAATAAAGCAATCAGAAAATAAAAAAAATAAAACTGCATTCATATTATATATATACATATATAATGTAAAAAAAAAAAGAAAATAATTCTTTCTTTTTTATTTTTCCTTACTCTCAGGCAGTTTTCTCCCAATAATTGTTTTCTCTCCATGTGTACTCTCTTCCCCCACCCCACCATCTCTTCAGTTTACCACTACGCTTCTGCTGCAAGGGAATCAGCAAGCGAAAAAGAAGAATAAATAAACGAAGACAAATAAAACGATAGAAAGAAAGACAGAAAGAAAGAAACCACCACCCCCTCCCAGTGATCTCAACTGACTACTTTCTTTCATTACCTTTTCCCTTGTCGAATCCACCTAGTTCAGAAATAAAGTCTTCTTCACTAAATTCCAATTGTGTCGTCTTCCATCCTGACTTTGCGAAATCAGCCCCTTTCCTTGATGATGATGATGAAGCTGTTGCTGAAGTAGTAGTAGTATTAGTAGTAGTAGATGAGGAATGTGAACGTCCTCCCATGCGTGGTATTTCTTCCCGCATAATGGAGTGTAAACCTCCCACGTGGGCGGAAGCTTCACGTTGATTACAACAGGAAGAAATAGGTCTTCTTACATTAGATGCACTCTTTAACAATTCTGTGTTTTCCTCCGATTCTGGGTTAAATAAATGGGCCAAGTAAGGAAATTGAACAGACATACGTGTGTGAAGTTCATCATCTGAAGTTGTAGACTTCTTATCTTTTACAAGTTTCTGATCTGGAAAATCAAAACGTTTACGGAATACATCCATGCGCAGCAATAACGGTTGAAGTAAACCAATCAAACTCATACCAACAAAGTAGAGTGCAACTCCAGCACGGATATGTATCATAGCAGGAAGAACACAAAGACATCCCAAACGTGCTCCCCAGATAATATTGGACATCCATCCAATTTTCATTTCTTTACTGATAGACAACTCAAAATTCATTAACGTCAAAAGACAAAACACTGTTGGGATTACTCCATAAGGATCTGGTAATGTCATTGCTGTACACCACAAAAATGAGGAGGTACCAATATCAAGTCGTGGATTTTCACAAAGAGCAGTTGTTTGAAAAAGTCCAAAAAGTACAATAGGTGTTCCCATTAATGATGTCAAACATTTTAAATTAGATGTCTTCTCTTCAGAAAAAACACGGCGACGTTCACCTTTCAATGCAGTAGCAGCAAGTTGTATATCCAACGCACTTGATCCCTCACGATAGTACACTCGCTGAAAGGCCTCATGCGGTGCCTTTAATCGCTGCATGGCTCTTCGCATCCGCTCTGATGCCCGCTCTCCATAGAGAGAGAAGCCAAGTGTAGAGAGACGACTGATAGCACCAAAGAGAAGAATAGCGATGGCCGGCTCAAGTCCTAACATTTCTTGACATCCAACAAATAAATTAGCAAATGGTGATGTCTCTGGCAGCGGCTCTAAACCCTCCGTCGCACCAAACCACTGACGATTCCAAAGGTGATCAAGGTAATCGTAATAGCTACTACCACTACTATTACTAGCAGCACTACTCATGTTATTATTCATATTCACACCATCACTACTGCCGTCCCAACCGTCTGTTGCCACGCTGCGGTGCGAAAGAAGAAGAGGTAGCCGTGAAAAGGCCATACGATGCGGAAACTGTCGTCCTAATCTCCGCATTGTGAAAATACTGTACACCCTTAGAAAAGAAAAAAAAGAAAGAAAGAAAGAAAGAAAATCACATATTCAATAAATCAATAAATAGTTAAAAAAACAAACAAACGAAAGAAAACAGGTATCCTCAATGTATCGGAAAAAGATGAAAAAGGTAGTTTTTCCTTTTTTCTCTTTTTTTTTTTCTCAGTATCAGGTCAGTGTGTTAGTGTTTTTTTTTTTTTTTTACCCTTTTCTTTTCAAAAAAAGAAAAAAATAGGATGCAGCAACAAGTCAATTCGGAATAAGTCGCAGACTTCTCTTAAGGAATGAAATAATAATGAAGAAGAAGAAAAGATCAACACATACTCACTCACACAGAAAGAAAGAAAGAAATATTTTATGCGATTCAATTGAATGTTGAGAGTACATGTCGCAGATAAGAGTCTAGTCTTCGCTGCAACGTTGCTGTCTTCAACTTCACTAGACCCATCTCCATTCCACTACCCACTAGACCGAGAATCGCATTTCCACCAACAGACATAGCGCATATCTTATTCTCACCAAAATCAATAAGGACTTGTTCTAACGACTCTGTTTCTACTTTGTTTGTAAGTTTATTTTTTGCCATATCATTGCTAGCACAGGCACGCCAAACATTACTTATAGCAGCAATAATCATTGCTCGTTCCTTTGTATGAACATAATCTGGATCTGCGGAGGCAGATGTAAGCAGTACACCATCTCTATCAAGAAGAAATACGCCTACAACACCATCCTCAACAGCTTGCTGCATAGAACTATTAATGGCTGCTGCATCAAGCATTTTTATCTCGTTCTTCTTAACTACTATATATATGTCTATATGTATATATATATATATTAGACACAGTGACACTCACGATAAATAACGTTCTTCTCTTGGAGTAAAGAAAAAAAAAAAAGAAAACAATAGTAAAAGAGGAAAAAAAAAACAAGATTTAAACCAAAGTTGTCAGGATCATCATCCTCAGCATCACCATTATAAATATTACCCCATTAGCATCGAGTCATAAATAACTGAACCATCAATAAAGAAACTGCTGATATTTTCTCTGTAATTTACTCAATCAACCAAATTGTTGTTGTATCATAGTGAGATAAGAAATAAATAATAAAAAAAAAAGAAAAAAGAAAATAAGCAACATCACCTACCTCTCTAGTGGTGCTTTCTTTTTGCCATGTTTTGGGCAAAGAAGTTCAAAAGTTTTTTCATTCAGATGGGCCCCAGCATCTACTGCACACTGCAAATGATAACTACGCGGACACTTCTCAATAATACACCCTACAGGAGCCCCGGGTTGTCTACAGTAGACACATTTTATTAATCTACACCTCTCCAATGCTGCATCGATGTTCATAAGAGTTAACTTTTCCTTATCATAATACACTTCTGGACACCACAAAGCACATACCAAGTGAACATGATAACCACTATAACACTCAATAATCCCACTATTATCATGACAGAATACACATACAATAGCAGGCGCTGCTTCTTCAACATCCACACGACATCGAACCGTGCGTGCTGCTGCTGTTCTTGTTGTATCCATTTCGTCTAAATGACTTCTTTTTAATGAGTTTACGATATCATCAGGAGACCATGAGAGTGGGGTTCCACCAAGAATTTCTTCTTCTTCTTCTTTCTCTCCTTCTCCTTCTTCTTTCACTGAAGATGTCATTAGATCCAAACTAAGAAGAGAGGATGATGCTTGTGAGGGATAAGAAAAGGTACTATTCATAGATGACATCTTTTGCATCGTAGTAAAAGCAGCTTGTGTACTTGAATCAGGTGATGACTTTCTATGTATTTCTTCATCCTTCTCTTCAAGATGTGTACTAAATTCATCACTTTCTTTTTCCATAGAGGAACATAAATCTACTTGAGTAAGAGGAAGTGAGCAATCCGAATGAGGTGGTGTCACCATTATCCCATTATGTGATACTTGAATCTCATCTAAAGTTGTAAGAAAGTTTTCTCTCTCCGTGGGAGGTGAAACGATTAAAGTTGGTTCAGACAATAAAGGACTCTCTGTGGTTGAGAGAGAGTGCGTCGCATGATATAACGGCACACGAACAACGGTAACGGATCCAAACGTCACACGTCTCATTGCGGGTCTCAACGATTGCCTACGTGATTGTACGGGCATCAGATACTTTTCTTTATTATTACTATTATTATTATTTGGTTTCTGCTACTTCAAGAGGAAGAAAAAATAAATAGTAGGTGAGTGGATAAGATGTAAGCAGATTGTGAGTAACATATAATATAGAATAAAAAGGATTATTACAACATGTATATCCCTCCATTATTATTATCAATATTTGTTTTTTGTTTTTCTTTTCCCATATTGACCTCCCCAACCACACCAACATATATATATATATATATATATATATATACTCCACACACAGAGAAAGAAAGATATATCTTTTCATGTAGAGCAATCCATACAAACTTCAACTTAGTTCTTAAAAAATACAACCGGCTCTTCCAGTTTAGCCAAACACTTGAACGGTAAATCATGTGCAAAGTCCTGTGGTACATAACGAGAAGGTGGAGGCAAATTCCTATCGAGCAAATCAAAGGTCGCTAGGAAGGAAGCCGCCATGGATCCATTAAAAAGTCTAAAATTCCCATCATGTTTCACAAAGGTAGATAAATGCTGACGCATTTCTTCCATTTCTTTTAATTTTTCTTCTTGATTTTTTACCGCTAATGAAGATGTTTTTCGTTTCCTCATTTCATAAATCCTATACCTCTCTCTACTCATCTCCAACATAAATTCATAGTACTTGTTTTCATTCCCATGACGAAGGCTTGCTGAAAAAAGATACCATGGATGAGGTGTTAACTTCTGCACTTCTGTTGAGAAAAGTGCCGCCACGGACGAAGTTGGTCTGCGTGAAAGACTCGGTTCATCAATTAAAAGTTTTCGCACCGCCATTCCACGTGGTAATCGTGTTTGAATGAATTCATCCATACTTAACACCTTCGCACCTTCAAAGTCACAGAAAAATATATACGGTACCCCATTCTTCATCCAAATAACACCCACATCATCCCAGGTAGACTTTAAAAGTACCTTTGAGAGTAGACTATAACACTTGTGATTCCATGTTGGTAATGTATACCAGCGATTGCAGATAGTGACAATGTCTCCAGTGCTAAACTCACTTGGTTGAATCTCTGTTACTTCCCATGTCGCTCGGTAATAGAGATCTTTTCCCTCTCCTACGATAAGAAGCGAGACGGGTAATGCTTGCAATATCGCCTTGAAATGTATTCGCAACTTTTGACGCCATGCTAGACGTGGTCCGATACTCGCCATTAAATGAGAGTAGCCTTATTTATTTATTTATTATTATTTATTTACCGAGTTAAATACAGATACAAGAAGATGAAAAGAAAAACAAATATTAGACACAAAAGAAAAGACACACACACACACACACGTACACACATCAATAAAAGAAAACAAAAATTAAGAAAGAGGGCATTTTTCACATCCTTCTATTGCAGAAGGTTACAGAACATCAGAAGAGTAAAGAATCTCTTCTCCCTTTTTTTCCCCTCCCGTTTGGGATGATACTTTATCAGTAGCCACCTAAACAATACGAAAGAGGAAAACAAGAAAAAAAAAAAAGAAATGGTCGATATTGAGAAATGATCAGCACTAAGTTCCTTTCATAATAACTACAGAAAAAGAAAAAAAAAATAACAAAAAGAAAACTCGTATGCGTTCCTCATAGTAAATATGCGTATATATATATAAACTCGATAAACTTTTCCTCTATTGTTTACAGACAAAGAGAGAAAATAATAATAATAATAATAATAATAATAATAATAATAATAATAATAATTGGGAAAGTGATCATGTACAGGCTAGATGCGGTCTACAACTGCCGTAAAGCCACAGAGGCACGGAGAGAACGGTTGTCCATCGCAAGTTGCTCCAGTTCATTTGCCATTCGCTCCACTAGAGCATCACACTCCTGCCGCTCGGCTTTATAACGTTCACGTTCTTGATCGAATTGAGCAATAATTTGTTTTCGCTCGGCTTCAAAACGTGATGAAATATCTGCTAAACGTTTTTCAGCCACATTCAAATCTGTTGTAGGTTCATTAAATATATTTCCATTCCCATTTTTGTTACCACCATTCCTATTTATTGAAATGGGAAAAGAACTAGAAAGCATCTTTTGTTGTACCTCAAAAAGTTCACGTTTTAATCCATCATTAATTCTTTGCAGAGTAGCAATTTGTTGATCCTTACTATCTAATCTCTCCTTATATTCCATTTTCTCTGTAAGAAGTATTGTATTCTGTGCCTTAAGATCTGCTAGTTGTGATTCCATTGCAGCTCGTAACCCAGAGTGTTCTGTCATAACACTATCCAACTCAGCACGCATTTGTTGTGCTTCTTCCTCTGCACGTTGTTCATCAAAATAAGAACGACTTCGATGAACCTGATCACGTTTAAGTTCCTTAATTTCTCTTTGTAATAACCCCTTCTCATGCTCTAACTGTTCTAGAGATTGTTCAAGTGATTCCACGCGTAAATTTACTTCACGTGCTTTGTTTTGTTCCTTTAAAAGTCGTTGTTGGGCATCTAAAAGCTGTACTTCTACAGTTTTTCGTTCTTCTTGTAGGAGATTTCTTTCTTCTTGTAGGAGACGATTCATCTCTATAGTATTTTCATTCACAGACATCTGATGTCGGAGATCATCACGTTCCTTTTCAAGGCGCCGAACATGTTCTTGAAGTTCATCCAATTCATACGGTGCACCTTTGAAACCACTAACACTACGACTCGTTCCTTCTACAAGTGTTTCATACGGTTTCCCTTGAAGAATACACTGTATACGATCACTTAAATCACTCAATAATGCAGTGAGTTCATTCTTATTCTCCATTAGGAGTCCACAAAGTAGAATAGCATCCTCAATATTTACACGTTCTTCAGTCATATTTCGCATAAACACCTCACGAGTGGCGAGGTTTTTAGTCTCTGATGGAAGTTCTTGCACTGCCGTGATGAGTTTCTTTGTGCGTGTAGAGAGATTATCCTCCGATAAGTTCTGCAGAGCGTGACTGATGGCTTCTCTATTCATCACCGGCTCCTGCGGTACCACACTGCCGAGCTCAAGGAAGGCGGGCAACAGCACATTTCCTTCAATCACCTTCACATATCCCAACAAGTCCTGCAGGAGACTCTCCAACTGAATCACAAGATAGCGGGCCGACTCCGCACGACGGAGGGCCTTGTCTTTATTATCCTCTGCATACACAACCTCATCAATGAGCTCTGCGAGGTGCAACTCTCGCTTCTTCAAGTCACTGTCGAGTTTTTCAATTTTGTGGTACAACAGATTCACCTCCGCCGCATCCGGTGGTAAAGAACGGTAGTTTATTTCAGTCATTATAAATCCCAGCACCTCACTTTTGAGAGAAAAAATATAATTAGGACTTTATTATTATTGCTTTTTTTTTTCTTTTTTTCTTTTGGGGGGGGGGGGGGGAGAAGGTGTAACAACAATAGTTACTTTTCCTTAAAAGAAAGAAAAAAACAACATGCAATTCGATGAAAAAAAAAAAAGATTTATAAATACTTAATAACGAAAGTCAGACGAAATACAAGGAAATACGAGAACCAAAAAATGGACAGACAAAGATAGATAGATAGATAGATAGATAGATAGATAGAGATAACACACACACATACACAGAAAAAAAAAGTAGAAACAGACTATAAGGGCGTTAATATGTTATCAGCGTCCCTCCGGCCTTTACAACATCACCTGCTTTGACAGCCAAAGAGGCATGCTTCGGTACGTCCATTACGAGTACAACAGAGGAACCCCAGTAGAAGGTAGATAAGGGATCACCTTTCTGAAAAAGAGGTTCAGTAGAATAACGTCGATGAACAGCGTACTCTGGTGGATTTAAAAAGTTAGTTTGAACTCGACCATCAAAATGGAGCATGATACGTCCTGTCAAGGTACCACCCACTAGAGCCATCCCAATATTAGTATTATTCTTATTATTATTATTATTGCTGTTACTATTCTTACTGTCCTTACCATCTCTAGCACTATTACTACTACTACTACTACTACTACTACTAGTAGAGACATTGTTGGTCCGTCCTAGGAGTACCACCCGCTCATTGAGGGGAAGAAGAGAAGGAATCCAATGATATCCTGCTGGAGTGTTCGGTAACAAACCTCCAGGAATGTAAACAACTTCACTGCAGTTGAATGAACATGGGGAAATTACATGATGATAGTCTTGAGTACGAAGGTGTAAGGCAATCGCTATCCGTTTTTCTCCATTTTCCACTGGACTCATATCTCTATGAAGGAGCCGTCGGATGCTATACGTCATTCCCTTGACTTGAACTAGCTGATCATCTACGATATCTTCTTGCACAGATAAAACTATTCCATCTGAAGGGGAAGTTACAGGAGTTGGTGCTATTGGCCGTAACTCTTGTTTCCACTCCCGTACAAAGAATTCTTGCAGTGTTGAGAATTCCTCTTTCTTTCCTTCTGATAAGTCTATAGCATACCACCAAACAATTGCCCCAATGAAAAAACGATGAAAAGACTCCGGAAGGTAATCACTCTCGCTAAGACATCCAAAAGCATATGAAAGGTAATTTAAAGGAAGTAAGAGAAGCATTTCCAACATACTTGGTGAACATAGTCGATCACCACGCTCGGGATAACGTGTCGCCTCCCATGCAGCATATTGATACTGCCCGTACACGTACAACCCACCACCAAGGAGAGCACCACCAAAGAGATAATGATAGACCCATCTCCGCATGGGATTAACGTAACTCCTTGAGACGTCATTTTTGTAAAAACGCAACAATCGCGTTGCAGACGTCATACCTCTTATTTTTTTTCTTTTCTTTCCTCAGTTTTTTCTTTCCTTTTATTATTTCACTTGGAGTATGTATTTATGTATATATATATATATATATATATATCCCTGTGAATATTTGTGAATATATGTGTATGGCAGTTCGCACACACACACACAGAGAGAGAGAGAGAAAAAGGCCCTAATCTATTAGGGCGTCCTTAAATCAGACAAAAAAAAAGAGAGAGAGAGAGAAAGAGAAACCAATAATGAAATTATTCAACTGATCGTATTCGTCCATAGTGGTAAAAATAGTCACTAAGAGGTTTTTCCAGAGTCCTGTAATCCGAAAAAAAAAAAAACAAACAACGAAAAAAAAATATATATATATACCTAATGCTACTCACCTCCTACCCAATAAATTTTATCATCGCTTCATTCCACAAGGAACCAATTACGAAAAAGAAAAAAAGTCTGATTAATCTATCCAACACCCGAAAAAGAAAAACAAGAGAAAAATAATAAATAACACACCAAAGGAAAAGTAAAGGAAAACAAACAAAAAAAAAACATTAAAGATCATCAAAAGTGTTCTACAAACCCATCCCCATTCCTTCAATGACCCTCTCTACTTGCATATCGACGGACCACAGTACTCGTGATGGGCCAAAGACGTTGACGGTCTGCCTTACTCAAGTGTGAAAAACCTCGTATAGTGTGTGAGCAATGCTCCGATGCACATAAGCACACAAACGGCGTATTCATTGTCCATTCTGTTGAGCAATAGTTAAACGTCACCATCTCTCCTGCTGCAATAGGCTTAAAAGTTACAAATTCCAGCGAGTCATCCTCTTCATGTACAATCACTTGTACATTTGGTTCACAATGGTGGGCAATACACTCTGCGGCATCACCGAAAAGAAGATGTTTATCATCTCCCACGCAGATTGTATACATAGTGGGAAAAGGTACAACGAGACCTGTTAAGTGAAACAATTTCTCACCTTGGGGAATATCTTTTAATGCGTATGCCGTTTGTCCCATTTTTCCATTTGGACGAACTTCAATAAGCGGGGATGTTGATTTGACGATCCAACCATCATGCATAGCCTGAGCACGTACAGGTGGTTCACACAAGTATAACTTGCGTTGCTTTTCTTTATCATCAAGATGACGGAATCCTTTCACTTCTTCTGCAAAAGCGTGTGGAAAGAAAACTTTCATATCATATATGAACAAATTCATATCTACTGTAATCACTTCCCCCTCTTCAATAGTACGTAATGCGATAAAGCGACCTTCCACAAATACAGCATTGGGATTAGCATTATGTTGAATAATATAAGCGTCTCCTCCTAGGGAAACTTGTGTCGGTTGAATATCTATATCCGAAGATTCCAACAATACCGTTCCACGAGTTACCGTATTTGTCAACTGCAACATTCCATTTGTATTTTTCTTTAAAAAAGATGGTAATTGTATGAAAGTATGTCTATTGGCCATATTACGTATAAAAGGTGTTACTTGACGCTGTAAATGCATACGCTGTGCTCCTGTGAGAAACTTAAAACCACGAATATCATGTAAACAGTTTTCGTTTCCACATTCACATCTAAAAGGTGCACATAGTTCCCATTCTGTTGTTAAATAGTTAAATGTGATTAATTCTCCACTTTCAATATCACGTAAAGCTTCACACGTAACAGTATTATTCACCGCATCCACACACATACGAATATTTGGATTGCAACTGTGTAAAATAAATTGTGCCCCATCAGAAAGTAATAAATGTTTTTTCTCTTCCAATTGTATTGTTCCTACTGAAGCAAATGGTAAACAGAGACCTGTAACTTTCATAAAACGTCTACCAGAAGATATGTTAGTAGCAGCATAGGCTTCCATTCCAGTATTACCTTTCTGTATTTCAACTAAAGAAGAAGAATAACATTCCAATTTGTATCCATCTCTTAAAGCTGCAGAACGTACACTGAGTTCAGTAAAGACGATTCGTGAACACTTTTCTCGCTCTTCCAAGTATTTAAACCCATTGATAATGTGTTCATGTTTAAATCGATTACATTTACATACAAACTCTTTTGGAAATTCATATCTAAGACAGTTAAGATCAACTGTTAATTCATCTCCTCTATTAACAGTACGAATTAATACAATTTTATCATCAATAAGAGCCGCAGTAGGTGAACAATGATGACGAAGACGTAATCCATCAATATAGATAAATCCATCACGAATTTCTAAAGAAGAAACATTAATAAGAACTATTCCTTCTTTCATATTATCTCCTATATGTACAGAACCATCATTTTCAAGAAAGAGACGTTCTGAAGCTATTTGCATCCAAGCATCTACTCCTTTTTCAACAGCTGCTAAAGATGCAATAGCTGGAGTTGTTATGCTCCATAAGTTTTGACGTAATTCATCTCTCAGATACTTAAATCCTCTTATATCATGATAACAGTTTGCTGCCCCACATAAACATGTGAATGGAGTTTGCATATCCCATTCTGTAGTGAGATAATTAAAAGAAATTAATTCATTCTTTTTTATATTTCGCAATGCAACACATTCAATTCGTCTCGCTGTACTATCCACAATAATACGAACATTCGGATCACAACTATGTGCCAAACACTGCGCTCCATCTGCAAAAAGAAGATGTTGTTTATCTGCAATAAGAATGGTATATATAGTTGGAAAAGGTAAAACAAGACCGGTAACATTAAAAAAACGAGTTCCTTTTATAATATCTTCTTTTGCAAATGTTGCCTGTCCCATACGTCCATTCGCCTTTACTTCCACAAGAGGAGAAGAACTTCGAATACAATATCCATTATTTACAGCTGTAGCTCGAACTTGTGGGTCCACATACAACATTTCCATTTCTTTTCGATCATCTGTCAAACCTGCGAAACCAGATACCGTTTGAACACAATTGGAAAATCCACAACGGCAAACAAAAGGTGTAGTGGTACTGTAGATAAGATGATTAATGTTAAGAGTTACCGCATCTCCCCGTAGTGAGGCACGACAAAGAACAACATATCCTTCAAGCCAAAGAGCCGTTGGATTACATGAATGTTTAAGTCGAATATCATCCAGTACAATTTCATCTCCTATAACATTAAAACCTGTTGCTTCAAAGAGAATAATACCAGAAGGCATATCACGGGCCACACAAAGTTCATTCGTATTTTCATGAAAAGTAACTATAGAATTATTAAGGGTAGGAAGTGCACTTCTCCGGTTTTGTTTAAAAAGTAATTTCACCCCTGTGGTTGTTTGAGGCCAAAGTTTTAACTGAGTACGCTCATCAAGGTGACGAAATCCTTTAATTACACCATGGCATGATAAACTTCCACATCTACACTTAAAAGGTATGGCCATATCCCACTCAGAAGTAAGATAATTAAAACCTACAAGTTCTCCTGGTTGTATATCTCGTGTGGCTACACAATCTGCAATACCATTTGAAGCATCCACATAAAGTCGAGTGTTAGGTTCACAACTGTGTCCCAAATACTGGGCACCTTCAGAAAAAAGTAAATGTTTACCTTCTCCAAGAAATACTGTATAAATCGTTGGAAAAGGTAAAATAAACCCATTAACATGGAAAATACGTGTACCCTTAGGTATAAAATGTTCAGCAGATGTAACATATCCAATTAACGGATCTCTTATAATTTTTACCAATGGACTAGAACTCTCTATAGATGATACATTACGAAATGCTTCTGTAACAATAGAGATATCTGTAAAAGTCATAAGTCGGTTCTTTTCACTATCACTCAATGATGAAAATCCTTTAACAAGATGTGTACAGTTGTGAGATCCACATAGACAATCAAAAGGAAGTGGAACTTCATAGAATAATGTGGATATATTCAAGGTAATCAAATCACCAGGTAGTAATGGTCGAGTTGTTACTAACCTACTTTCTAGTAAAACACAATTTGCATCACAACTATGTGGTATCTGTAAATTATCAATAATAACTTCACGTGGTTGAACACGAAAACGATTTACATGAAATAGTACTGTCCCAGAGTCAATATAACGTTGAGCAGCAACTCTTCCTTCAAAGGTAAGTGACATGGCTGTATTTTCCTTCAACAAAGTCAAAGATGCGGTAGAAAGCGATGGTGCATGATATTTTTCTTTAATTGCAGCGCTTGCGTATGGTAACAGGTGCATCTGTTGTTCAGCGTCAAGGTAACGAAATCCTCGTACAAATCCATAGCAGGAATATGTATTACAAGCACAACAAAATGGTTGGGCAATATCCCATTCCGTATAGAGATAGTTACAAGTAAGTTGTTCTCCATCTTCTATAGGGCGGAGGGCTATAGCACGAATACAATCTCCATCAATCTCAAGGCAAAGATTTGGCTGGCAGGCGTGACGTATGAACTCGGATCCACCAGTGAGTCTCAAGTGTCTTTCACCTGGTAACTCAATTGTGCTGCGCACCGGGAACGGAAGCAAAACACCAGTTGATGTAAACACCACACTCTGCGCCTCATGATTTCCACGTGAGACTGTCACTAGCGATGACTTGGAGGCCGTACGCACAACATCCATTCCGCTTTCGCTGCGTCGTGGGATAAAACCATCGGCAATAGCCTGCTGACGCACACGTTCATCCGCGTATGTGTAGAGTCGCTGTTTCTCAACATCTGGAAGGTTTTTAAACCCAGGGATTTGCATCTGTTGGCTTTCTACCGCCTCATACACGAATGTGTTGAGATCCACCAACACCTCTTGACCTTCTGCAAGGTCTTCTGTGGTAATGATAAAACGACTGATGATAGTGGCATTGAATTTCGCTCCGTGTCGCACATGGTTCCCATCAGGGAGGACAAGTTCACCATGCTCAAAAGTGTAGTCGGCCGATATGGGGCAAATAATCTCCCCCGCTTTAAAGGATGTATTAGTCTTCATTTGGGCAACGCGTTTTTTTTTTTTTTTTCCCCTTCCCCCACCTTTTTTTTTTCCTTTCAGTTGTTGCCAAATGAAGAGAGAGATAACCAAAATATCAAAAAGGCTCCAAGCTTTTGCTGTCTTTCTAAGGGAGCAAAGTTTATGTTTTTTTTTTTTTTCCTTAATTTATCTAGATTTCAACTTCGCTCTGCTATGGATTATTGTTTTAGTGAAAGTAATAATAATAATAGTAGTAGTATTAGTATTAGTAATCGTAGCGTTTCTTACGCAGAATGACAGAAGTCAAAGGAACAAAAAAAAACAAAGAAAGAAAAAAAAGAAAAGGAATGAGATAAGGTGATTTAATGCTTTATAGTGAGTCACCGTACTGTAGAGGAGAACAACAACAACATATTGTGGATCCTCTCTCTTTCTCTTTCGTTCCATATACTAGTAATATTATAGGCGAAAAATACTCTGTGCAGAAAAAGATCTGCATCATCTCACATGTACCAGAAATGATGATGAGCAAGAGAGCAACACAGTCACAAAGAAAGAGAACGTGAGGGACAGAGAAGAATTTTCCCAAAATAAAGAAAAAAAAAGAAGATTTACACACTACTCGAGAGGCTCGCATCCACTACAGAATCTTCTTCTGCAGTTGGTTTTCTGCAACTCTTTGGATTGAGGGCGCGATAAGAAACTGTTGCACCCCTTGCACGACATGCTGCGGCGAGGTCCATCATAGCTTCCACTGCAGATTGCGCAGCCCAGCGGTTGCGGAACACCACATGCAGCTGTAACGGCACAGAAGGATGTCCGTGGGTGACAATAACGCTAAAAGGCGTCTGTGACACGACTGCGCGTACGTATATCAGTTGAAATGCGAACATCACGCGTAGCGCTGGTGTTGGATCAACTACTGCAGCCTTGTTATTATCCGCGGCGGCGAGAAATAGCGCCTCGGTCTCGTAAAGCACCAAGTACATAGGGGTTCCTGCAGCGGCGGTTGGGGGCGAGCCTTGTAAAATGTATCGCTCCTTCACGAGCTCGCAGCGAAAGCAAAGACGTGCGGTAAGGGAGACCCGCACCGAGCTGCCCGGGCGGTGGCGAACGCCGTATTCTTTTAAACTCAACAGAAGGCCGTCGGGTAACTTAAACTCGCAAAAGACACAGCGGCGGAGAGCCATCCACATGAGAAGTTCACTGCGCTCCACCTCGGCACGATCGTGGGCGGCACGGTGGGCGGCCGGTACCATCGCGGCAAGTCGCTGCTGATGGTCAACATAACGGCGGTCGTCAACATCTGAATTGAGATTAGAACTGAGATTCACATGAGGGACTTCTCCCGGCAGCAGCGGCAGCAGTAGACTCGCCTCCCGGCTGAGGGTCTCAAGGTCACACTCCCCAGACCACTCCAACCCTCCTCCTCCTCCTCCTCCTCCTCTTCCCGCGGTTCCATCATAACCGCAGCAGACATGTTCGAGTTTCAAAAAAAGTGTCGCGTATGCACTCCGCAGATATTCGTGACTTGAGAGAGCAGCGACGGTGTCGTTGCTATCCGTGCCGTCTTTTCGCAGTGCAAAGTAATCAGCATACGCTATAGTGCGACGACGAATGACGGTGAGGGAGAGGAATAACAAACCACCCAAAATAGTGTTCTTTCGTTCTATATGTTTGATAAAATCCATAAGAAGAGACAACGAAAACTCAAAAACCGAAAGCCGAGTAAACGCCCCACGTGTGATAAGGTGGTAAAAAGCCATCAAAAGACATTCACCCCACCTCCGTATCTTTAGATCCTTCAAGTCTTGGCACATGCGATTTACGAACGTTTCACATGACGGTGTTTCCCAAGGTTGTAGTGGAGGAAAGGAATCCATGACACATCCTTTTATATCCCATTTCTCAAGTATAACATCCATCAGTAGAAGCTCCTCCTGTCCCAGAGGAGCTAATTCGTTTCTTGTGGCTGCTCCAACCTCTTCACTGATAATATCAACTGTTGTTCTTGTTGTTGAATTAGTAGTAGTAGTAGTAGTAGTAGTAGTAGTAGTAGAAGCATTCCCAGTTCCTTTCTTCTCCAGAAAGAAACCAGTGCTAACCATGGCACCTAGTAGAAGAATGCCTCCAGAAATACTTTGCATGCAACCACTTTTGAACACACGAAACACAGGTCCACCATCATCAGGGTCACTGAACAACAACCGCTTGCGAAAGAGTCCTTGTAAACGATCTATTTCATTAATCAACAGCCAACGTGTGAGTACGCACATTGCGGTGGGTGCAGGAACAAGAGATGATGAACAAGAATTAGAGGGATTAAGCTCGAAAGGTTCGTTAATCGATTCCACAAGGGGAGAAAGGACTACCTCGTCAAGGACATTCTCCAACATGGGCGGTGCAAAATTGTGTGGTACGGCGAAGAGATCATTTATATAAAACAAGTCATCCACTACATCTTCTAGTCGATCACTGAGAGAAGCAACACCAAGTAATGGTGCTGAAGGTACGTTATCCGAATGAAGAGCCGCATACTCCAAAACTGCGTCACCAAGGGTTTTTATTTGTGACCACAGAAAAACAGCCATGAGGCGAAACACTTCTCCAAGTGCAGATTTAAGAAACACTGATATGGCAGGTTCACTTAGTTGTGCGACACTAATAACAATTTGCCTTGCCGCAGCACGAACAATACGATCAGAAGCATCAAGAAGTTTAGCTGCACGATCAAAAAGAGGAAAGTTACCCGTTTCGCTCTCAAAAAAAAACTGTACCGTATCTTCATTGAGACGTAGCGCCAAAGTCTTAAGGAATGAAACATAGATGGATAGGAGTTCATCATCACTTTCATCCATCGAAATAGAGATAATCCTGTTCAAATGATTGTTACTGCAGATACAATACACAGAAGATTTTCGTGTTAAGTTCTGTAACAGCATAGTAATACACTGAATACCCTGTCCCTTTACCACCGAGGGGAAATCAGCATTTGTTACAATACGCTCAAGTGTAGCCATCATGTTACGCTCAAGAAAAAAATCAAACACCGATTCCACATTCTTGTCACTCCAAATAATAACTTCGGCCAACTCACGAAGAGCCTCAACAAAGTCACTCGGGTAGAACATTTGCGTCTCCTCCATTCGCTGAACCTCCTGGCAGAGGTATTCAGCATTTTCAAGAGAAAGTTTTTTTGATTTAGAACCTTTGAACCTCTTCATCTAACCACCCCAAAAGAAAAGAAGGGGAAAAACAATAAAATTTAATGACTAAATGGGACAGAGGTTCACGAACGCAAATAAAAAACAACCAAAACGGCAAAGGAGTACTCTCCTCCACTCTCCATCCACCTAGGAGACACGAGAGCATAAAAAAGAATTTATACACATAATTGACATGCGAGTGCGTGTATGCAACAGCATGCTAGTAAAATTAAAATAAAAAAAGATTATTAGTTTTTCTTAAATGCGTTGATGGCAAAGTCAATGTGACGCTTGAGATAATCATATTCAAGAAGGTACCGGCCATTTTTCGTCGCGTTATGGAAGACAATGTGATGTGTTACATTGACTTTGCTTGCTGTAGTGTGGTAGCACATGTTTCCATCGATATACGACATAATCTCTATCAAATGTGTGCCATTGCGCATCCACATAAGGTTCGCAAGGTTAGCACCGTGGGGACCCAAAACAATGTCTGCACGGTAAAAGGCTCGAACCTGCTCTGATACATTCATATCAACAGCATTATCACTAAATGTAAACACATCGTTATATTCAAGAATTATTTTTTCCTTCAAACCATAGTAGTTTGTTGGCATTCGGGACAGTCCTTGTCGTTCAGCAAAAAATAAGTGAAGTTTTCGTTCATTTACAGGAGGAGGTGGTGTCAAATGCAGTCGTTTAAAAACGATACCACGCATCGTATACAAGAGATGCGAAAACACAACAGCACATACATCAGGCATTGGATACAAAACAAGACGTCCATGTACAGGAATTTTGCTGTATAATATACGTGAGGAAGGTATGCCCAGCACATCTGTCAACCACTGTGTCTGAAATTCCTTAAATCCTGCTTGAAGCACCAACACGGCATCCTCACGCTCCACTAGTACTTTATAAACAGGTACCAAACGGGGCAGGTGCTCATGGGTAAAATGGAAATATACTCTGCACCACTCATCACAGAGGGGAATTGCAACCACACGCCAGTCAATTTGTTCACTCTCACTAATGTCTGGGAGATACCAGCGCTTTACACATCCTCCAGCCGTGTATACACTTCCATCACATGTTATAGCATGACCAACGGATATCACGGCGTTAGGGAATGCCACCACATACATTGGAGGTTGAGGCGAATGGTACTGTACACTGCTGTATAGCCCTCTTACCAATTGTAACGTTTCATTGGAAAGAGACTTATCATAGAAATCACTGGCAGAGGCCATAGTATGAGTGTAATACTTAAATGGAGGATCCCGAAAAAAGAGTTTCCACTTACCAAAAGGTTTTGTTATGTCAAATGTTTCTGAAAGAACCACTGGTGTTTGCTTTATCATAGCAGGTAAGGCACCGGAAAAGAGAAATACATCGTCACTGGAGCGTTGCTTAATAACATTAAGTAACCGCTGTGGTGTCTCCAAACTACCCTTTTTAAGAAAATTCAGTCCATACTCGTACCTTCTAATCTTTTTACTAAGAGGGTACACGAAATG